GACCACCACTTGAGTGTTTTTATAGCGCAATGCGTTTCTAATCGTTAAAAACGCTAAACATTTAGTACAGTGTGGTATATTGAACATAGACTTGTTTAACAGGGGTCAATTTAACTTTCTCTTCAACCCGGAAGTAAAAAGCATAAAGTTCACTTAGCTATTGTAAACGATGTAAACCCAGGGGCGGATCCAGGAATTCCTGAAAGGGGGGAGGGGGCGTTGTACATCTTAATAACTTTCGGCGCCATCGGCTTGGAGCTTCTAGTGGGGTCTAGATTTTGCCCTTTTCAACATCATTTCGAGCATTCCTGACACTTCAAAAACGTTAGAGAAGGCGTGACATAAAATCTAGAGTTTCCCGTTTATCAACTAGAAAACCATAAATATAATAATGGAGTCGCTAAACGTACGTTATCTTTTCCTAACTTGACAATCAGCTCTATTTGTGGAAGTGAAACAAACCACGTATAAAACTGTTTCATTCTATTATTTTTATGGTGAGTCAAACAAATAACAAAAACATGCAGCTTAAAGGGAAGGGGAGGGGGGTTGCAACCCGCTCAACCCCTCCCTTGGATACGCCTCTGAAACCATGTCTTTTGTTTATTACGTTTTACTTTATAGTTTAGTTTCTTCGCTATTTACTGCTTTGTAATCGTAAACCAGTTTTATATAATTGCATATTATCGCAAAATGGAGTAAATATTATTGCGCAGTGTTAAATCAACGCGATCAGAAAACCTAACCTAGTCATAGCACAGTCCCCATTTGCCACCCGTCTTGAAATCGTAAGTCGTGGAACACCACTTCTTCGCGTAGCCATCCATGGTACAGTCGTGATAGTGTTTGCCATTATAGACAAATGGAAATACGCAGCAATTTCCGGCAGAATTGCCGCCATGTGTGTCCACTCCGCTATCGCACTCCTCTAAGAAACAAAAAAGGAAATCAGTTGCAGTCAGTCACTGTAGTCAGCCAGCCAGCTAACCAGTTAGCCAGTCAGTCAGCGAGCTAGACAGCCAACTAGACACCAGCCAGTCAGTCAGGCAGTCATTCAGTCAGTCACTACAGTCAGTCAGTCAGTCAGTCAGTCAGGCAATCATTTAGTCAGTTACTGCAGTCAGTCAGTTAAGCAGTCAGGCAGGCAGGCAGGCAGTCATTCAGTCAGCCAACCAGTTAGCCAGTCAACCAGTCAGCCAGTCATTCATTCATTCAGTCAGTCAGTCAGTCAGTCAGTCACTGCAGTCAGTCACTGCAGTCGGTCAGTCAGTCACTGCAGTCAGCCAAACGTTCGAGCGTAAAACACACAGTTCAAAAACTTGAAAATATCACTCAAGTTATATCTTGGGATATTCCCCAGTTTTGGCTGCGTCACGTGACGTGTTTAAACCAATCGCTCGCGAGAACAAATACTTGATAGATGATAATTAACAATTAGATTTTGAGCTCGAGATTTCTAAGAGGTGAAGAAACTGTCATGAAACTGTTAAAGTCCTTCCTCTAGTCTTCTCAGGAATTTAATTATCTATTTGTCTAAACGTCGCCATTTCGTAAACGACTTCCAACCACTGCACGCTAAATAAACAATAACCTCCATTTGACGCGAAAATGTGCTAGGATATTTGTCCGCGGACATTATCTGTTCCGAGAAGCAAACCGTTTTGCGAGAGCGTTGCTCGAGGAAAACTGCGAGCTTTGAAGAACAGATAATGTCCAAGGACAAATATCCGAGCATATTTTCAAAGTCAAATGGAGGCTTTTGTGTTTATTATCCCTCAAATATTTTTCGCTACACGCGCAGTTTTGAAAATTGAGGAATACTTCAGATATTCCCCAGTTTCAGCTGGGGAATACTCTGTCAAGTGACGCGTTTAGAACAATCGCGCGCGAGCGAAAAGATTTGATGGATTATAATGGCTGATAGTGTACGATTACTCAGCAAATCAGATTGCAGCATTTGCATAATATAAGTGTGCAAATAGAATTTACCAAAAACGGATATTATCTTACCAATCCAACACTTGTCACAGATCACAAAGTTGCCGTAGTCATGAATCTTGCACTTGGCAACGTTGTTTCTGAAATCGGATTCAGCCACTTGGTTGCCAGGGTTCAGATGCACTCGCAGGTAAAACGAACCGTGCGGAAAGTCAGTACAATCCACCCACTGGCAGTCAATCCTCCAGTTGTAAATATCGTAACAACCGGGAGAAATGCCCTGCCCTCCTTTAACAGAGCAGTTGAATCGCTTGTCAAATCCAGGATCACACTTGGTGTCCTCTAAACAGAAGCTGGCTTTGTGTCCCTTGGCAACCTTTTCTCCCTTGTCTTGGGCTAAGAATGGAAAAAGAGTAAAGAACTTTTCGACTCCTAAATCTTCAGCTAAATCGAAATCCAAATGGTTCATGAAGACTCAAGTGTTAAAAACTAGCTTAAAACATATTTTGTATACCACCTTCTTTTAACCTTCTTTTGACCAAGCGTGCTCGGAGCAAATAAATAAAAATCATAAAAATAATAGAGCTTGCTCGGAACAAATACCAAGAGAACATGTATAGACCTCGGACCTGGTTCAGTCCGTACTGGACCTCGGACCTCGGAACTCGGACCTCGGACCTGGTTCGTTCAATCCCCCAACTCAGCTAATTCAATTTTGGCCCTCTGTTTGTCATGTTCCCTTTTAAGGACCATAGTCAACCAAACATTTGTTTTTGTTTACATGCGAAAGATTGGCTATTATATTTTATTCGGAGCATGTCGAAACGAAGGAAATCACAAATGCACTGTAAAACTACTAAAAGTAATTAACATACTTTCAGTAACACAACTTACAGCAAAGCAATAAGATCTCGTTTCACCATACCATATCAATAATTTCGATGGCATTGAAAATGGAGGAGGTTGAATAGGGTCCTTTAAGGTAGTGTACGTTGCGTTATTGAGGGGAGGGGCTTAAAGGACGTACAATTCTGATTGAAGAGAGAGGCTAAATTGGACCACTGTTGTATTATTCAGTTGAAACTTACTGATGAGATCATAAGAAGAGAACGTTTCCATAGAATGATAGTGCTTGTGACATTTATGCCATTGCCAATTTGACTTGGGTATATTCGGTCTGAAGTCCGCCAGTCCTTCATTTTGAATTTTGACGCTAAACCTTAACAGTCGCCGCTGGTAATACCTTGCATCTCTGAAATTAAAGAGAAAGGTTTGAAGGAAGCTTAGCAAGTGTTTACAAAGATTCGAAGAAAAAAAACGAAACAAATTGTTGGGTCTCAGCAGAGGGGGTCTGAGTATCCCACGTCCCGTCCATTTTTGGCCTTAGTATCCCGTATCCCGTATCCCGTTAGTTGGAACAATTAACAATTGCAACAATTGCAACAATTAACAATTTTCACACTCGCTATCCAGGGAATGATATATTTGTTGAAATATTCCGTTAATTTTTTCCCAAAATATCCCGTATCTCGAGAACTTCTAAGAGGGTCTCACTGTTGGTGTCGAGTTTACATACCTTTAACGCTGTGGAATTCTGTCAACCGCCATCATTGGTCTTGTGGCGAGCAAAATATTAAGAAAGTGTGAAACTCCTCTTTCATAACCAAGATTGCAACGCAATTAAGATCAGTTACGTCATCTTAAGTACATTTGATGCCTTCAAGATGCATGTTTAGCAAGTTCTAGCCAATAAGTACAGATTAAAATATGAATTATTTCAATTCATAAATACTTCACATCAAGTACAGATTATATTTTCTCCACGTACGTAAATCAGGTTAAAAACCTCACCAAAGTCTTGACGTTCAAACTTCGAGATATCATTGGTTACTTTGATTTCTATTTAAAATAATTTCAAAATTTATTACATGACTGAGAAAAATACTTCCTTGTGATTGGTCGAGAGCAGGCAAATCTAAAGTCAATTTTGAATTAGCACTGCAGTGCAAATTAACGCGCGTGCTTAATTTTCTCAGTCATACAATAAGTCATATGATCACGATTAAATCGTTCCATGAGTAATACCTGATGAGGAAGTCTGCACTAGCTGAGAGACATTTCTCCTCTAAAGGACACCTAAGGTATTCCAACGGAATAAGCTGCATTTTCATGTCATCCCGGAGCAGTTCCACGTCAGGCACTATATCTGGTAGAGCTACGTACACCAACAAAGAAAACAACAAACAATCAAGGGAATGCAGTGAGCAGCCACCGTCACTCGGTCGCGCAATTGCTTCTTGGCTTATTCGGGTGCACCCAACAAAATTCAAACTAATAGCAACACGGAGACAGAAACTCACATTTAGCATCCGAAAATTACTGTATTTTGTTTCGGAAAGGTTTTAGTGCACACAGAACGATACGATTCCCCACCGGCTGACTTCGCAGTGAGACGCCTTGTTGGCTAACCTGTTGTTCTTTAGGGAAACTAAAACTGTTTACAACCTTGCCGATTCATAGCATTACAAATTCCGGCCGTTTAGACGACAGTGATAATTAAGGTGTAATAAATATAAAACAAGAAACTGAGAAGGTACAGGAGGCCCAAGATCTAACATGACCTAACACGAGAGTAGAGATGTTAGGGTTGCATCGTCACTATAGAAAATTTTCGCAAGAGTTCGACTCCCATGACTTAAATTAGATTGTTAAGATGTGTACCCATACTACATTACTAGGGCTCACCATCAACACAAATAACTCCCGCTAGGTCCTCTTTGCTGCACGTGGTGTTTTTCCAGTCGTCATGCTGACATCTGTAAATAGAGATATCATCTACCCGGCATTTAACCCCAGACATGATCATTCCAAGAGCTGTTCCGCCAAACAGGTTGTTTTTGGTAACAGCCTGGCTGGCATAGCCGAGATTCAGCTGTCGACAAACTGTCATGGCTTCCTCTATGCCCCATCCATCAGCACAAACGGATCCCCATTTGCCGTCGTGGAAGACTTCCACCCGGCCCTCGAAAGGGCTTCCACCGCCATGGAGCCGAATCTGTTTAAAAATTGCATTTATATTTGAGCTCTTAAACGTCTCTCTTTGAATATCAATGAGGAACAACTTGAAGCTTCTATGATCATTTCGTTCTGTGAAAGTGCACCTAACCCCAAAAAATTTTTCCGCTAAAACAAGTCCACTTTTTATTCGAAGCATTTTGGCGAAAAAATTTTTGAATTTGGTTGAATCCTCGATTTTCTATGCCCTTTCAAAGTCGCGCCTCAAGTGTTACACGACCGCGTTTCCGGGAGTCTGGGGCGGCGGTNAAATTTAGTTCTTCAGTTTCAGGATTCTACTACACGCTTGAGAATATGTGTACCTCGTGACCTTGAAGTTGCGGTGTGTGACATTTAACGCCAGCGTCTTCATAATGGTTGCAGTTTGTTCTGTACCAGCCGCGGTGATAGCAGTGAATGATATTCTTCTCGTTTCCTTTGCAGCGAACCTCGTCCAGCAGGACCTGGTAAACAACACACCGCGCCGTGCTTAAAAAGCCCTCGTCTTTACATTACCTAAAATTAGCCCTTACATATAAGATACAAATGCTAACACCATTTCAATAAATTCCAACCAGCGCATGTTAGTTTTGGCTCCTATAAGTGATACAATTTAACTCGATTATAACTGAGTATTCTAACGCTAAAATAAAATTGCTTGGTTTCTCTTTTACGACATTTGGATCAGAGATTTTTGGCTTCGTTTTAAAACTTGCTGCGCCAATTTTTAATGTTAATATGATCCACACAGCAAAAGTCGAGAAACTGAACCCAACCATTTTCATGCCCCTACATTCCATTAACCCTTTCTACTCTCCAAGACCGCAACTCACCATCCGAAAAATAATTGCTAGACAAATGAGCGATTAACTATTGAACGCTCTAGAGTCCATCTACAACTAGGTGAGTATGTAGCCATTCCCATTCCCATTGTCTAGATCAAACGATGGCAGTTTCAAGCAGACTTTCATGTGCCTAACTCAAATAACGCAACTGACCCAGTTTGTGATATGCAATCGCTTCACAAACAGTAGACAATCGAAGTATTAACCGGTACTGTGCCTGATAACGATAAAAACATCCTTCTTGCCATTGAGATAATCATAGCCGTGGTAATGATTTTAACCAAGCCCACTTCCGAGTTACCTTAAGCCTCTCTATCAAAGCGAGGCCTGGTCCACAGCCATTCATATGAAAATGAGTTTAATTTGCACGTGGATGAAATCTCATTTTCATATGAAAGGATGGGCACCAAGACTCGCTTTGGGAAAGACGCTAAAGGTAATTCGGAAATGGCCTATTAATGTTACTTACCTTTCCAACGCCTTTGCCGAAATACGCAGCCCTTGTCGCTCCTGCCGCTGTCCCAAATCCCATGGACCTGCAGACAACATTTGCCTCTCTCAGAGTCCAGTGATCGTCGCATATTGTGCCCCAAGAGTCATGAAATTTTATTTCCACGCGCCCCTCTGACATCTGAGCTCCACTGCGAAGACGTATCTCCAAAGGCTTGAAAAAAATTCACCAAAAATTTAGTGATAGGCGTTGAAGATGAACTCTTCTGTATTTTTAAATCGTCGTTGAACAAAGAAAAGAGTAAATTTGTAGGGCATTTCCTCTGAGACCTTTCAATTGGCCCGTATATTATTCAAAACAAACAAAACTATTAATGAACTTAACGTCTACGAATACCAAGATTTGATGGCGGAAAGAGAGAAAAGATATCTTCCAAAATGATGAAGTCGCTGCGTACCCGCCGGCTCAGAGGGCTGTTACCGGGATACTTTCCAGCAGTTCAAATTAAATCTCTTCTCTCCATCTCCTATATATTCCAGAAAGCTTATTTACTTCTTTCCTTTCCATTGGAAATCGTAATATACCAAAGTTGCTAAGTTGTTAAGTTGCTTGGGGAGAATGGTGCCATTCGCCGAACTCGGATGACACCCGGATGACACCCGGATGACACTTGCTCACGTATTTACATAGTACAAAGCTTGTACTCTTGTGTAAATGGTAGCGAGTAACCGATCTAAACTGACCTTATCGCTCCTTTTTCGAACGCATTTGATCCTGAGAGCCTGTCCACCCTTGCACTCACTAACGCCCAACGCGGAATGGTCACATGACACGATCGATGACTCCCATCCTTCACACGTCACATGGTCCAGCCAATAGACGGGCTCCACATCCTGAACTTCCACTGCATAAGACTCAGCGTCATTCGGGAATCCAAGCTGACCGCACAACACGTAAGTGTTCGCCCTTCTCCACTTTGAAGGACAAATGTAACCCCACTTTCCCTCATGCTCCACTTGAACGATACCTTCAGATATGTAGTCGTCGACAACCGGGCCTAATAATCTCACTTTCATCTTCAAAAGCTGCAATGCAAACTAAAGATTAGTGGAGTAAAGCAAGCAGTCAACTGTTGTTGTTGCGTACATCCAGCACCATGTAGTACAGACGAAGTTTCGACTGTTAGTCGTGGCTAAGGCACGGCCAAACAACGCTTGTTCAGCTCTTTCATTCCGTTCTGAAATATAAATTCTCTCTACTTGTTGCCAAACATTCGTTTAATGTAAGTTTTGAGAATTCGGTGAAATATCGTGACAATATTTCCTCGTTGATGGTTTTTCTCATTCTCATCAGT